GCAACTGATCTCCAAACACAAAAAAATTGAAGTTTACCAAAACAAATCAAAACACCTAAAACAAAAACATTTTGTTCCTTTTAAAGAATTTAACTCCATTAAATAATAAACAGTCCTGTTAGGAAACTAATAAATAAATAAAGCGTGTTGACAAGGACAATTTTATATCCAAGAACTGTATATACTGCTGCTGTACAGATACAATGAGGACAGCAGTGGGCCATGCTAGGACCTTAGTTATTTTATAGACAGAGGAGATGCTAGCTTGACATGCTGGAACCTGTATTTCTACAGAAACAGCTAAGAAAACCCAAGCAACAGAGTAGAAGTCAGTGGCACTAAAAGGTAAACAATGCCCCTGCAACAGATGGGATCCCATTCTTATTTGTATACCAAACTACATAAACTAAGCCATGCAACAGCAGCTCCACTGGTACACTTGCCTTGCACCACCAGCAATGCCAGTGTATAGAAATTAATAAATCCAAAAAGAAATGCTGGGGAAGACTTCTTAGGATGTCAAAGTATATCCAAAAATAAAAGGGCAAGCAAACATCTTAGAATGGACTTAAAGGGCCTATTCACACTTCACATAGTAATTTACCTGCTTTATGTGTGGTTCAGTGCAAAGCACATTGTACAGGATTCACATTGTGCAGCAGAGCGCATTCCTGCTGTCTCACTTTGTTTTGGGGGCGTGACAGTGCATTGAAGTAAATGGCACCGCAGCCACACCCTCCAGCCACAATGCGATCGGCTGAACCCGAACGTGTGGCACATCAGTGCCTGCCTTTCGGTCCGGTCAAGAAAAAAATAGTGCATGCAGCATTTGTTCTGACTGCACCGGACAGGAACGCAGGCACTGATGTGCCACACGTTCGGGTTCAGCCGATCGCATTGTGGCTGGAGGGTGTGGCTGCGGTGCCATTGACTTCAATGCACTACCACGCCCCCTCCTGCCCCGAAGCAAAGTGAGACGGCCTGAATGTGATCCAGTGCGTTCCGGCACAAATCGGGTTGCAACACACTGTGGCTGGTGTGAACTAGCCCTAAGGGGGGATCTGTTACATGAGCCACTTCCTTGTGTTTTTCTACACATGCAGCACCCGTTGAAAATCAGCTAAAATCGACCCTTAAGTGGCTGCAGCCCAACTTTTCTTACAAATTCTGTCAGGGGTATGTAAACTTATGCTATTATTATTATGTGTTGCATTTGCAAAACAGCACTCCAGGTTTTAGAGAACTTTACAAAAATGATGGGTGTGTGGTGATTTAGTAACCTCTTTAACATTTAAGGTACAAAATAACTTTGTATTCAAGACTAGTATGTATATTCACATTCCCCAAGAACATAAATGTAGTGGAACCTTCCTATTACACTTATTCAGCTGCTTTAAACATACTATTTCCTTCCTAAAATGCACCGCCTAAGCAGATTAGACAGCACTGTTACTGATTAAAGTGACACTAAACTCAGGAGTTAAATCTAAAAATTGCTTTAAGTATCTTAACTATTAACAAAAATGTATCTTATTTGTGTATCACTCGGCTGTAGATCCTCAAATCATCTCTGAATTGGTGCTGGCGCTGTCCTTCCTTCTGGAGGGTGGTTACTTTTGTTCCCCATGGTCTCTTTTGTGTTGTAAAGTAGCCACCACTCGAAGATCAATTCCGTGATGGATTACAATCTCAATAGAAATGAATAAATTAAATGCGAGATTATAGTTAATCACTGGGGTGAGCTTGGAGCGGTGGCTACTTTACAACACACTCAGGGACCATGAGGAACAAAAGTAACCCCCCTCCAGAAGGAAACAAATAAAGTCCATAATAGAAGTCACCAGCACTCGATTATGTGTGCAAGAAGTAAAGCAGGGTCCCTTCTTCTGGGCGTCAGAGTGAATGAGCATTCACTGTACTTCCCAGTACTTTTTCCTTTATTTTCATCAAGTAATCATGTGAGTAACACACTTCCGGTTCCTGGGCGACTACGCTCACTCCTCCACTATATCTATGTGATGATCGTAGGATCTTTTCCTTGGTAAAGAAAACCCCCCTCAGAACATCCAGCCAAGTGAAGAACACTCACCAGGAGGTAGGCATATAATTATCCAAGTCTACCATAAAGAGAAGACTTCACGACAGCAAATATAGAATGCTCACCACTAGGTGCAAATCATTCCTAACCCTCAAGAATAGAAAGGCCAGATTAGACTTTGCCAAAAAATATCTAAAAAACCAGCCCAGTTCTGGAACAGCATTCTTTGGACAGATGAAACTAAGATCAACCTGTACTATAATGATGGGAAGAAAAAAGTATGAAGTTTGCTTGGAATGGCTCATAATCCGAAGCATACAACATCCACTGTAAAACATAGTGGAGGCAGTGTGATGGCTTGGGGATGCATGCTTCCAACCGCACTGGGTCACTAGTGTTTATTGATAATGTGGTAGAACACAGAAGCAGTCAGAGGAATTCTGAAGTATAGGGATAAACTGTCTAGGGCTGCAACAACTAATCGACATAATCGATTATAATAGATTATTGAAAAAGTTGTCAACTTTTTCAATAATCGATTAATCGGCTTCTGATCAGTTGGCCCTGTTCACAGCTCCACACGCTGTGCACCGCACCTCCTCCCCACCTCACGCTTGCCGCTGCCAGACCCGCTCGCATCCACGCTCCACACGTCGCACCTCCTCCCCGCCTCACATTTCCTGCCCATCCACATCCACGATCGGCACAGGGAGGCGGGGAGATGTAGTAAAGAGGAGCAGGTGTGGGGGTATGGCAGCTGCTGATAGACAGGTCCGATCTCAGAAGCACGTTGCTGGAAGACTGCACTTTCCCACACATGGTGCTCTATAATGTATTGCTGGGATTTGTATTTCTCTATAGCTGATGGTACATTGTGCTGTATATTATACAGAGGAATACAAATCCCAGCAATACATTATACACTGTATGTATAATGTATTGCTGGGATTTGTTGTACTCCTCTATAGCTGGTGATATTCTGCATTGCGCTGTATAGAGGACTACAAGTCCCAGCAATAATACATTATACAGCGCAATGCAGAATACCACCAGCTGTAGAAGAGTACAACAAATCCCAGCAATAATACATTATAAAGTGGTACAATGCTAAATACCACCAGCTATAGAGGACTACAAAACCCAGCAATAGTACATTATACAGCGCAATGCAGAATGCCGCCAGCTATTATGTACTATTGCTGGGATTTGTTGTATTCCTCTATAGCTGGCGGTATTCTGCATTGTGCTGTATAATGTGCTTTTGCTGGGTTTTGTAGTCCTCTATAACCGTTGCCATTCTGCATGCATTGCTGTATAATTTTACACTTTCCATTTCACTATATTGCACACCACACTATCTTTTTTTCTTTTTTACTTCCACCGGTCCAAGCTTGCTCCTGTGATGGACTACAACCTCAATACAAACTAGTAGTCCCATCACTGGAGCCATTTTTTAAACTTTATTTTATAGTTTATCCGATTAACCGATTAATCGAACTTAATAATCGGCTAACTAATCGATTTTGAAAATAATCGTTAGCTGCAGCTCTAAAACTGTCTGCATAGATTCAGCCAGATTCAGCTAATTTGATTGGATGGTGCTTCACTTTACAGATTGACAATGACCCAAAACATACTACGAAATGAATCCAGGAGTTTCTTTTAAGGCAAAGAAGTGGAATATTCTGCAATGGCCGAGTCAGTCACCTGATCTCAACCCGATTGAGCATGCATTTCACTTGCTGAAGACAAAACTTAAGGCAGAAAGACCCACAAACAACAGCTAGAGACAGTTCCAGTAAAGGTCTGGCAAAGCATCACAAAGATGGAAACCCAGCATTTGGTGATGTCCATGCATTCAAGACTTGAAGCAGTCATTGCCTGCAAAGGATTGACAAAATATCAAAAAAGTTTAGGATTGTATTCATTTGTCCAATTACATTTGAGTCCCTGAAATAAGGAGACTGTGTATGAAAATGGTTGCAATTCCTAAACGTTTCATATAATGTTTTTGTTCGACCCTTGAATGAAAGATGATTGTTTGATTTCAAATTCATGGTGATATGGATCCATTGGCGCACAGAGCAAGAATTATGAAAATTCTGTAGAAGTCCAATTATTTCTGGACCTAACTGTATATCACAGTTTTGTTCTTAGGTTCAGCTATCCTTTAACCTCTTGCCGTCCGCCCGTAGTAGAAAAACGGACGGACGGCACTGCTGCATCTGCGGGTTGCCGTCTCCAGACGGCATGCTTTAGTTACTAGTATGTTCTAACATTTTTTTGTTTTTTTAAATATGTTCTTTACAACCTGGATCTATTCTATGACTTAAATACAGCTGTGTACACTAATAGATTCACCAATTAAATATGCTTTACTAATTAAAACTAAGACGTTCAAGTCATTAATTTACCCTACAATCCACTCAAAGAAAAAGTCTTGCTTTAATTGATATTTTCTATTTTGGTAGATGATGGGGAGTTAAATCGCCAGAGAATTTCTAATCTATCTGAGATTCTAGTTGTGTGACTGAGCTCCCAAGCCTGCAGACCAGCCACAACAATTATGGGGGTCCTATTCTGCTTCTTGGCTTATTATTTTATTTTTTATCATGGAGAGTGCAACAAGAGAAATGTCCGCACTCAAGGAAAGCTTTGTTGTATCAGGCAGTTTAAGACATTAGGATGGCTGGGAAAAGGATGGGTGATCATCTCCTTTCTGGAGTCACTAACATGTCACAAGAAAGTGGGTAAACGTTTTTTTTTTTTTTTCTAAAACCAGATTTTTTAAGAAGCAAGAACACGGTTATGCTTATGCCACTTGGGCAATTGTTTGACCTCTCCAAATATGGCCAGATATAACGGAGTATGTTGGAAAGCAAATCACCTGAAGACTATTAGACAAATGTTTCTTTTCTATACTTCTGTGAACATCACCATCTTTCTAACTGCCAATACCAACCTGAGAAAACGTTTTTTCTTTTTAGCAGAATCCTCTGGTGTCTTGAACGTTTTGTCTATTTTCTTCTCTGGAGTCTGGAGCAGAATTTGTGCTGTTTTCACCCAGTCACTTACAGTTCTTCCACCAGAAGGAAGAATGTTTTCCTCGCACACTGGAATGTTCTGCCTTTCAGCTGGTACAGAGTATTCGTCCTCTGGTTCATCAGACAAATATTCAACAATATTCAAAGCCTAGAAAACAAAATGGTCAATTCGAAGACTAGTTTATAAGGAAAACTAACACCAAATTCAACAACAAGCTTAAGTGACATTAGCTGGATTACATTTCTCAGGAATAATAATGCTATGCTAAGTATACAAGGCAGTCAGTGTATGTGATTAACATCCCTCAGGGAAATAACAGTTTACCATGTTGCACGACACCTCTGTGTTCTACCCTAAGGCCTCGTTCACACCAGACACAGTGCGTTCCGGCCCGTTTCTGGCCAGAACGTTCTGCATCGCATTGTGGCCCGGCTTACTATGTTGTGGGGCAGGAGGGGGCATGGATGTCTATTGAAGTAAATGGCACTGTATCCACGCTCTAAGGCCACAGTGCGATCGGCCGCATGAGAACATCAATGCCTGCAGTCCGGTACGAACAAAATGCTGCAAGCACTATTTTGCAGTGCTTGCAGCATTTTTGCAGATCACACTGAACTAATGTGCCTGCGTTTTGTGGGCGGGGAGCGTGGCTGCAGTGCCATTGACTTCAATATACCCCTCCAGCAGGGAGCCGGCCGGCTTGTGTTCCAGAGGCCGTACGCTCTGGAAGATACAAATATGTGAGGGATTTAACAAGCTACTTCAGGAAACTGTCATATCAGTTTTATTCTGCTGATGCTCCCCAACAAACAGCGCATCTGTGAAAACTACAGAAATAGGGCTTTTAGGCTTCACCTAAAGGAGTCCTGGTGGAACAAGAGGAGCATGGCTTCCTGATGGATAGCAGCAGAGGACAATCTGAGGGAAGTGGCAAAAACACAAGCCTTCAACCCATTCGAAGTAAAAATCCAGAAAGAATAAAAGGAAGGACTAAACAAAAAATTCAGAAACAAAGTAGGAGGCATAGAAATGAAGAAGTCATGACAAGTAAAGAAAGATACAACGTAAGATGTCCCAGGAGGAAGTGGGTGAAATGATCAGGGTGTAGGCACACTCCAACCCTCTGATATATACCAGTGAAGCATGGCATGATGAGAAATACAGCCACGTTTTGTTCCCAAAATTAATACTAGCATGAATGTAGACTGTGCTACATCAGTGCATTCTGTGATTAAAAAAAACTTGGAATCATTTCAGATAAATTAAAGGCGCTAAAGCAGGTGCAAGCCCTAACCAGGTGACACTTGGTCTGCTAAAACATGTTTTAATCAATTACCCTGGTTTTTTTTTTAGTGCTACGGATCACATCCAGCCACTTCCTGTCTATATGCACTTATTCCAGCATCATTGTGCTGGACCTGTTTACTGAAATTAACAACAGAGGGCCATGTGTGTCAATACTGCCACACGTAGTCTCCACCAGGAGACTTTTTCTTTTAATGAAAGCTGCCTATTCAAAAGGGTCAAAAACAACTTTTGAAAACATGTAAACATGTAAAAGCTTATATGAGAGGTGATTATGTGTATGTCAGGGCACAAAAATGCATATGCAGTACATCTCTGCAATATATATACATTTATCCCCCTGGCAAGTACAGAAAAATACCTGTTGTTCAGCCTAAAATGCACTCCGCTAATTCTCTGTTGTGGGCAAACAACAAAGTTCAGTTCTGTGGACTGAAATGGCAAAAAATTTAATCAGCCTAGGCAGTTGTCTTTTGTTAAACTACTGAATTCCTCCCACTCTCCTCATCTTCACAATATACAGAGTACCGAGTTCTGCAGTCCAAGATAAGAACTGGGGGGAAGGGGTTGGGGTGGCAAATATGGATAACACAAGAAATATGCACAGGACAGCTCTAAATGTCTGACAAAATATAACAAAACACTATAAATTGTATATTTAGCAGACCAAAAGGGAGCAAATATGAAAAGTTAATTGGTGAGGTTGACACACATTTTAAGGATAGTAATTTAGGCAACTCCTGGGAGCTGCATACCAATTTTTATTCAAGTAGCAGTGACAGGCTGGCCACACACAAATTAGACTGGCCCTTCTGACAGGATATACATTTATAAGTTGCTTGCAATGTTTAGTTATGCCTTCATACTACAAAGTTTTTAGGCAACGACAACGAACATGTCAAATGTATGGAAACTCAAGCTGCTGTGTGGCCATCTTTAATGGCAGCTTTTCAGTTTTAAAAAGGCAGGTCACTTTAATGATGCCAGAAGTTTGCAGAGCTGTAAAAACAAAATATACAGATATCTGCATGTGGGCGGTGCCTGTTGTCTATTACAGCACAGAGGCATCTATACATTATAGGGACAGTCACAGATATCAGCACCTTTTACATACTTTTATTCCAGGAAAATCCTCACTGTCTGTAACTCTGTTCTCTGTTTATTTTACATCTAGTTAAATGTATTCTAAATTTAAGCTTATGTTGCAATTTGTTCTAAATTTAACCTTTTTATATATTTAATGTCAGCATACAGGAATGTTGTACTTCACTTCCACAGAAAATCCAAGGGGAGAATGTAAAGTTTCAGAGACGGAGCTATGACTGAACTCAGGACATATTTACTTCATTAATCTATAGCAAACCACTGCAGCTTAACAGATGGTAGCATTTTGAACATGTAGACTGCTTTCCCCATTTATGGTAAAGGAAAAACAAATCCTACATTGTTATAGGGTAACAGGACATATTTTTCCAGTCGCCTGTGAGGTTGTTATAACCAGGTTGTAACATTTTTAACGTTTCAAAAAGATAACTCATATTTCTAGATGAGTTACTAGATGAGAAAATGTTAAAGTGCAACAACGTAATGCTCACCTATCCTGAGGGCTAGTTCACACCAGAACTGCATCACAACTGCGTGTGTCTGCGCAGCTGCAGTGCGATGCGGATTGCTGCGTTTTTACAAAGATTTTGACACAATGAGGGGAATGTATCAAAACTGGAGAAGACAAAATCTGGAGCAGCTGTGCATATCAAGCAATCGGCTTCCCTCTTTCATTTTCAAATCTTAACTCAACAAACTGAAGAGAGAAGCTGACTGGTTGCCATGCACAGCTGCTCCAGATTTTGTCTGCTCCGGTTTTAAGAAATTCCCCTCAAATTGTTTTTGTTTTTTTAAAATGCAAATATTGTAATGCGTTCAGTTGCGTTTAAATGTGTTCTTTGATGCGTTCCGTTGCGGTCCGACAGACTGCACTGGTGTGAACAGAACACCAGAAATCCCATAGGAAAGCAATGTGATGCATTTTTGATGCAGCTGTCAAACTGAATGGACTGCATCACAACTGTATCTGGTGTGAACTAGCCCTGAACAAACGAATAAGACAGCAGGTATAGGCACCTGACAATGGAATATATTACCAGGTTTCACAAGGCTATTAGGAGTTCTGCAAACAAGACTTAAAAGAGAACTATGGGGTAACCTTTTTATCCCATAGTTCTCTTAAGGGTCACGGGAGGACATATTCTAACGTCTATTGCTCACTATATATGGAGATCGCCGCAGCCGGGATGGATCCCAACAATGCTGTCGAGATCCACCCATCTGCGTGATTGACAGCTGGCTCTGCCTATTTAGAGGCAGAGCCAGCTGTGCCCGCCCCCTCCCCCGTCCGTACCTGTGGGGGAGGAATGAGTGACAGTCACGGCTCTCTGCAGGGACATGATTGGAAAGTGAGTGAGCGCCGGTATGTGTTCGCTCACTTCATTGTCACAGGTCGGCTCAAACTATGAGGTTGAATGAAAGTCACTCACCTCATAGTTCACCTTTAACATCATTTGCAATTTATGTCACATATGACTGTTAAAGTCAGCCACACCATGGCAAGATGGCGCCGGTGTAGTCGGCTGCCGTCACGACTGCTCTGATCCACTGTTCCTATTTTCTGTTTTTATCATACTTGTACGATTATGTATGTGACAAATAAATAAATCTATCTATCTAAATAGGAACAGCATAAATAATACACAAACGAAATCAAAGCATGTGAACCAATTCTACAGTCAGAAAAGAGGTTTTTCACTTTCACAGTAGAGTTTTATTTCAGACCTGTTCCATATAGTAACATGGTGCCCCCCTGGAACACTGCTAGTATTTCCTCTATGGTCAAAGTCCTTCTGTTTACATACAATAACCAATACATTGGAAAAAATGAGCTATAATACTAGTTTTCGTTTGCAACTCCCACAGCAAGAAAAGTCAAATTTTAGACTCAAACATGTATTTACTATACATTGTATGTGCAAATTCCTCTGTGCTTTAGGTCATATGTTTCCATTTTAGTCAGATGAGTGAGAAGGTGAACCTCTAACAGTGAACAGGTTAAGCCACTAGTGCTTAGTTCGGAATTTCCCAGGTTATCAGGTTTGTTTAAATGGCTTGAACAGCTCACTAAGTTAAGTGTTTACTTTACATTTATCAAGCACGTTTAAGAATGTAGCAAACCCTACCCTGTGTCGATATGTATTACATTGCTTTTTTTCCCCAGTGATACAGCACAGCTCAGTGTAACACGCAAGGAACCAAAGATGTCACTTTTTCCGTTATACAGACATAGACAAATTTGTTGGTAAAGCTCATTAAAACCGTTTCATTCCTCCTGAAAAGTCATTAAATAAAAAGCATGTGCTTCATGTATACTTGCAAGTATCTGCTATGTCACAAAGTAAGGCTTGGTTCTGCCCTAAAAAACGCTCCAAAAATCTGACCCCCCCACCCAAAAAAAAACAAATCCCATTCATTTCTATGGCCCCGTTCACATCTGAGCGTTTTGTCGCAATAAGCAAAACGCCTGTCGCTGGAAAAAGTACAGGAGCTCTTTCCTGGCATATTATAGCTCATTCTGTCCCCATAGACTTAATAGGAAACATTTGAAAACACCTGTTTGCTGTGTTTTTATGCGCGTTTTATGTGCTTTTTCTCGTTAACATCAATGGGCTACAATCTGCTCACAAAAACGTGCTTTTTGCGGTATGCGCATAAAACCATGCATCAAAAACGCTGTCGCCTAGGTGGGAACCAGTCCTTAAGAAAGGAAACTGTAAAGAGATTTTCTTTTGCTT